AGTGAGATCCCCACTCTTATAAACTGGGCAGATTTTAGGAACCTTCTGTTGCTTTGGCATAGTATGGTACATCTAACAGGTTTGAGTAGAAAGAGGTGATACTAGTATCAATACCTGTTCCGTGCAGGAAGTTCAGAGAGAGGGGGAAGGCAGTAATCACTAGTAGTAAGGACAGAATGGAAGGATGAGTTCCTTACCAAAGACTGCCTCAGGTATACAAGTACAACTTTTGACAAAAGTGACAGGTAAGAGAAGAGGACCCCTGGCCAATTGTTAAATCTAGAGACCACGGCAGATAAATAGGACTCTGGTAAATCACATTCCAAAAAATAGCCTGTCCAATTGGTAGTTAGTAGCCACTCTTTTAACTCAACACCTTGGATATCTCACCTTGTGAATAGCATACCTAATCTCAGAATTATACCACCTGAAAGTTGGTTACTCACAAATTAATCATGTGACTCTAGCATGACTTGGGTTAGTGAGAACCGAACATGATCAATATTTGTGGTGAGGATGGGAACATTGATGTAGGTTTTGATATAGCATTGTCAGGTTTGTATCATAGCATCAGCTTTTTATAAATTTTACAAATTTTGCTAAAAATTCGTAGCAGTACATATCCCTTTACACTATAAACAGGCAAGTAGCTTTTGGCTATATACATGTAGCAAGTATGTACTAAGATATTATCATTACTACTACTATTAATGCTACATTAACTCCAGAAATGGAGTATTATTATGAATTTTTGACTGCGGAAATTTTATAAATTACACGTACCATATACTGAGATATTTTTGTGTTGCTAAATATTTGCAAATTTTACATTTTTAAGATTTCACAAATTAAAATTTTTGCGAATAACTTGCAAACTCCACCACGTGGCAATAAAAATGCAGAATTTCATGATTTTTATTTTTGCGACGGAGCAAAAAAACTGCAAAAATTTGGCTACTCTCATTTTCCCAGTATACGGTATCTACTCTGCATAATTTTTATGTGGAATCTACTTGTTCCTTGTCACTACATTTAAATACACAGTGCTCTTCCATGCTAATTGCAGGCAAGGACAACAATTGTGCTATTACATGTACATCTACATATGTACATGAGCATTCAATCTGGGGTCACACCCACTTGTGAGTACTATACGAGTTGAGTAACATTAATTAATTAGTACACATAATTTCACTCTCTCTGGTTTTATAAATAAAAATTATATAAACCACAGAAATAATACATAAAGAAAGGTAGGTTATAGTTAGGGCAGTTAAAATAAGGTAAAATTTTGTAATGAAACAATAATTTTTTAAAAGTCAAACAAGACACCCTTAGCAACTGATTAGGATTCTCTAGTATATAATTTCTAATTATGTATGTACAAGTTTACATTCTGTATCTATGTTAATTTACACATTACTTAATTAGTTTTGTAATTTCCTCTCACTTCACCTACACTTAATTTGGTGGTCAGTAAGGCTACATCAATTGAAATCTGTCACTTAATCAACTTCAAGACAAGATCTCACCAACTTTCCAAATCCTTCCTAACTGTATAAAGAAGCCTCCTCGAGAGGGACAATGTAGCCCTATGCCCTGAACATATGTAGCTCAACAACACTCTAGAATCTCTTTTCTCCATAAATAGTGTTACACACGATCCATTGTTAGTTGTTATCTAGTTCTTTGGCTATCATTTCTGTTTTTTGCTCTATCAATTATTCATTCAACTTTGATTTTCTATCATCACTCTCAATTTGTGTAACTACTGTTACCAATTTCCCAATCCATACTAAGCTCATACAGCAACTGCTAATGATAAATCAGGATTATAGTTTTAGGTTATTGTATGCAGCCCTGGCTTGTAACTATGAATCCAATAAACCAATTTGCAAAACAAAAAAATTTGTGCCAAATCAAAAAAATTTGTGCCAAATCAAAAAAATTTGTGCCAAATCAGTACCATAAACAAATCAAAAATCTGCCTACTTAAAAATAAGTTTTAAGACACCAAAATAACTGCATAGCCCACACTAATCACTGGTGAGGCCAAATTAAAAATAGTTCAATGTACATTATTGTATATAAAATGATAAAGATAAATAGTAACAATGTATTCAGATATCAAGTACATGTGTATATACAAATTAATTTGCAGAGGCTAGAGTAAGATCATGCTGCAATGGATGCACTTACAACTACACTCTGCAAATGAGACATATACATGTATGTACCTACCTTATCTACAGCATTAACATCAGCTCCACTTTTTACTAATATATCAACTACATTCTCAGAACCACTTCTAGCAGCATAATGTAGAGGAGTCTTCTTATTCTAAAATAGAGTAAACAACAAGTAACAATTATTTTTTATACCAAGCAAATTGAACTTAACACAACATTAACTACTTAAGGCAAAAGGCTGGCACAGTAACAGTTACTGCTGACAATTATTTTAGTCCTGCATAAATCATGAAATGATGTACATGTGTATTTACTATTTAAAAATTTGAAAAAAACTGCAAAGCTGAGATAAATCAAACCCTGTATAGGATGCTCATAACATGACAGAATGGGGCATGTATAGTCCTTCCTTAACGTTTCAGAGCAGCATTGCCATACCGTATAGTTTGAAATTTTTGTGAAATGTAAATTTCGTGGTTTTCGTGGTTATGGGCTGCCCACGAAATTTAAACCCACGAAATCATTGAAGTGCCATCCCCTTACAGGCTATGTAAACTGTCAACCACGAAAATTAAACCACGAATTGCCCCACTAGGAGCAAACCACGAAAATATCGACCCACGAAAATACCAAGCTATACGGTACTTTGCTCCACAGTGCTAACCATGACATAACAATGCAAAGGCATCACATATAATATGAATCTTTAACAATTCACTTTAAGACTAATCTTAAAAGCAAATGAATAGCTAATAGATTAGACAATCTTTAGAAGGGTAGTGTCATCACTGTCACGTGCCTACATTGACATATCATCAAGTAAGAGCAAGTGCAATGGTTCATCACAAAGGGTTACTGCTCTCTAATCTGGCAAAAGGTGTTCAAGAGACTCTATCCTACCATTATCCTAGTTGCAAATCATCTCCTTCAACTCTCTTAACAAATTTGTTAGAGATAATTATCAATTATTATTGTTACATGCAATTAATAATAAAGCCTCTGGAAACCTCTTGAGAGGAGGGAGGAGGTTTGGAATTTCGCAAGGGCCACTCCCTGCGTACCTGCAACCAAACCTGACACCTCATATGGCATCTGGGAATGCCCACCTGCACAGAATGGCAAGGGCAGAAGGGCATCGGCGAGGGCAAGGTATTGCCCTGTGCCCCTACCCCAGCCACGGGATGCTCATGCCCTTATTTCAGGACCAAAATCCCGATGTGGATCGGGAACTTGATGTGGCCCAGGAACCGAGTGGTTATGCTCTCCCCATGGGAATGAGATCCCAATGTGGGGATGGGCCACAGAGTTTCCACACCCCTGGAGGGGAGTGCGGCAAAGAGGACATGGCGTCACCCTGGGATCAGAATCCCACCCCCGGCAAGGACCACACAGAGTAGTCTCCGACCTGGAGGGAGTGCAGGTAACAGACACGAGTCTCAGGATGGTTACAGGCAGAGCAAACATTGATGGGGGAGTGAGTGATGGGGACCAACACCGAACCCAAGCGAGGCTCAACACTCAAATGAGTAGAGAAAGTAGAAAAAAAAATAATAATAGATGTGTAAATAGGGAGGTGGGAGGGAAAATAAGAGAGTCTTAATCTAAACACAGGTAGCCACAACCGCTCACGCTCACAATACTCACAAGACACTGAAGAAGAACCATGCGCATGCGCAGGGAGGAGCCCCGCCTTTCTAATTAACTGTCTTTAAACGCAAGCCTTTAAAGTCTATTTATTATTGTCAGTTGTATCTTATTATTATTGCAATTGCTGATGCGTTTGTGTAAACATTATGTAATCTTTTCCTGTATAATCTGTATTAAGTTTTATGTTATTTGATTATTCTCTCTCTGATTTTTGTTTCTACTTCTCTCCCTCTCTTTCTCTTGAGTTGACTCTTTTGTGATTATAAGATTAATATAAATCTGAGCTCTGCTAACAAAATTTTGTCACATGGCATAGATGTTTTTGTTTGCACACAATTTAAATAGCAGCATCATCAACCCCTTTCTCAACAGGTAGCAATGGGGCATTGTGAGACTAATGGGGCAAGCATTAGCAGATATCTTGCTGGATTAATAGTTGCTTGTTGGCTGTAATATTATAGTAAATGCAGAAATAGGCAAATATAGCATACATATCCCGATGGTCAAAATATTTGCATTTTATGATGTGCAATAATGTACAAGTATATGAACAATGGATAGTAGCCACACATACATGTGGTCTATTAAAACTACACTCAAGTATAGACTAGCTGGTGCTAAGTCTATTCATAGAACTGTAAATAAAGTAAAATTTTTCTGCCGCCATTTTAAAGTTCTAGTGTCTATGGAGCAGTCGTGAAAAGAGCTTATTCTCCAAAAACTGCTGTATTTATTCATGACAGCAATCTTGCTACTGCTTACTGACCATCATCCAGTGTCTAGAGTTGGCTCATCAACTATAAATAAGAGCCATTATGACATACAGAAGCAAAGATATTGCTTTCTCTCATTCTACTCCTGGTAAGCTATGACTCCAAAATGGCGGTAGAAAAATTCTACTTTATTTACGGTATCAAAATCTATGAATATACTGAAAAATCTATGAATATACTGAAAAATCTATGAATATACTTAGCACCAACAGGTCTATAATCATGAACATGACATACACCAATTAAACATTGCAAAAACGACATGGACTACTAACCTCATCTTTAGCATTAACAATAGCTCCATTTTTTATTAGTATAATAGCTACATTCTCAAAATCTTTTCTACTTTCAGCAGCATAATGTAGAGGAGTAATCCAATACTATAAAAGGAGACAGTACCTTTAGGTAAATGTACATGTACATCAAATTACTAAAACACATTACATGGCTAAACTTCCCATGCCTTGCGTGGGCATTAGCAGTTGTAGGTTGCCACTCTGTCATTAAAATGTATCTTTGAATAGTGAGCTAGCTTAGAGCACAAACAAATATTAAATGCCCTAACCCTGTCTATAGCATTAACATCAGCTCCATTGTTTACTAGTGTAGTAACTTCATTTTCAGAACCACTTCTAGAAGCACAATGCAGAGGAGTCTTCAGGTCCTAAAGGTATACAATTAAAAAAACCATAAAGCAAAGGAAAAGTAAAACTTTGTTATACCTAAGGCTCTAAATAGCATATTGAAACCATTCAATTTTTGCAGAACAATATTCCCAAAAATGTGAATTTCTATGTGCAAAGAAGATTTTTTCTCATGAGTAGTAATTAATTAAATTGCAAAATATTTTTTGTAAATGAAGGATGCATCACAAAATTCAAATAAACAAGTACGCAGCATGTACATCTTCGTGACCTGTGGGCAAAGCCCCAGACAATTTTATATACATGTACATGTATAAATTGAATTCACCCATGTGTGAGCAATATAATTCCACTTACACATACTTCAAAGAATCTATAATAGAACCCAGCAACCAACTTGCCCATGGCTCATGAAGTGAATGTTTCAAATGGCAAAATACTGTACAAACAGGACTAAATTTTTGTAATTTCAAGCAGCATGAAGTGGCCAGTTAGGGCATTTACCCTACCAACTACTGCTAAATCAAGTTTCAATGCTACATAATGCTACCTTACATCCACTCTTGCTTACATGTATGTACATGTACATTGTGTGTACATGTACTTTGAATTAAATACTAACCTTGCCAATAGCATTGTTCTCAGAGCCACTTGTAGCAGCATCATCTTGTAGGTATATCTGAACATTTAAGCAGTAATTTATTTTTAAATTTACAAATAAAAATCAAGACACATTTTGCTAATTACAGTTGTATAGACCACCCTAGGCCTGAATTAGAAAAGATATTAATGTGACATAAAGTATCTGCTCAGACGTCAAAATTAGCTACCATTTTGATTGGCAAGTGTGTTATGGAATTCAATCGAGGAACAAAGAAATGGTCTCACTTACCTGCTGTAGCTCTATCAAAAGCTAAAAAGTACTTGTTATAAGAAGAATAGCTGCCTTTGAGCTTCTTTGGTAAAGGATTTGGTCAAACACACTCAAAAATTCTTAATACAGGTGTGTCTGATGTTGGCCCATTTGTTCTCTATTAAAGTTGCCAAGCAAAAAATGGTGACCACAATTTATTTCATTCTGATTAAACCATGCCTTACAACTGTGATAAATTGTAATATTCTTCCTATGCAAGCAATTCTCACCTAGGGTGATCTATAACTAGACTAAAAACTGTACATTCATGTAACTAATTAATCTATAACTTGAAACTATTTTTGTAGACTTAACTTAGTTATAGCAAAACAGCATAGGAATTTCCTAACTTGGTCAAAATGCAGTTGTAAAAAGTTAGGCAATGTAAATGTTTTTTATACATGTAGACTATCAAAAAGATGAAAAGTTATTTAAGCTAACTACTAGGTCATTCTATAATTAAATCAATGTCCCACCAGGATTAAGGCTGATTCACACTGCAAATACAATAAATGTACCATATTTCCTCAAATAGGGGGCTTACTCAAATAAATGCCTATCACTAAAGTCTGTTCAGTTTCACCTGACCTATCGATTTTTTGTCATAACTTTTGGCATGGAATTTAGAAATTTTGTTTGCACCACCATTAGAATCGCTAGGTCCTTCCCGTCCTTTAGATAAAAAATCGGGTCAAAATGATAAGACTTTAGTCTTTTTTGGATGTCCCTGTATAAAATTAATGACATACCTTTGACCACAATTATACTTATCTGCATGGCTTCGCGCATCAAAAACAATTCCAAAGCCACAAATACGTAAAAAATGCAGATGTGACGTAGTTATTTATTAAATGAAAAAAGCCAGGGGTCAGGTGAAATTGAACAGACTTTAGTATCAAGAGCATATTGCCACTATAAATACATTGTATGCATATTTTACCCAGTACTATATGCACCTCTGTTCAAATAGGCTAATTGTTCATCTTCAGTCCCGTGAACATTAAGTCTTGTGTTTGAGCCTGGGTTTTGGCACTTTTTGTTTTATTTTTTTGTAATTTTTAAAGTTACTCAAAAATTGTGACCAAATTTTGCCAAAATGATTGGGAGAGTATTTTTATAATTTTCTCTGATACCTATACATATTTTTATTTAATGTACATATACATGTACAAGTACACATGTAGGTGTAGAAACTTTGAGCTGATTCTGATAATTTTTTAAATTATTTTTTAAAGTTGGCCAAAGCCATGTACATGTAGTGCTTGTCAGCTCATGATCAAAGTATGCTTTTAGCTCACTTAGCATGCTTCATGGGAAACCCTAATCAAATGCTTCTAGTTTACTATACATCAAATTTCAGTGACCAACAATCAACAACCTATACATTTTGTATACAACAAACCACCTGTACTTGCATGGCTAAGTTTAATAACAGTTGAAGCAAAATTCTGACTGTCAGTGCATTCTTAATTCAATAAATTCAGTACAATTTAGGTAGATTGAGATGTTAATTAAAAATATAACTATTAGAGTCCTAAGTTTTGATGCACTGAAAATTTGAAGAAAACAATCATTCATTGAAAATTAATCAAAAATGTCTCATAGTTAAAAATAATACATGCATATCAAACAGGAGTCTGAGACTCACTTATACAAGTATGGAGGAAACTGACAAAATTAGTACAAGCAACAAAAAAACCCACATATAATAATCACTAACCTTGGTCTTCAGTAGTTCAAAAATTTTAGTAGAATCAAAATGTATATTTTTGTAAGCAATGTGCAGTGCTGTTGGTTTCATATACTAAAAACGAGATGCAAGTAAATAAAACTGTATGACAGTGATGACAGTGTTGAAGTTATCAGGGTACATGTACCTATGGCACAACTAAAATCACTCCAATCAGAGTAAAACATGACATACATGTACACATACATGTAGATGTATACTTTTTTATGGATCAATACACTACTTCTTGAACATACACATGTGTGTACTATTGACTTACAAAACCAAATACAGAATTACCTTATAATTTGGAGGTTTATTATGGCAAATGGCGATTTACAAGTGAAATCACCAATATTAAAAACAACAATCATCAATTGGAAACCTGGTTGCAAAACAGTGCAATGCATAAGTATACAACATGTACATGTAGCTCTATATTTTCTTTGTGGGATAGAAGGCATATCACTTGGAACCACAACCACTCTAATCCTATAGAAGTACAATATCCACTAACAGTGAAGTACAATGTACCGTAAACGTGGTTTTCTTCAAGGGAATTATATTTCGCAAAATCTACTAAAATTCCAATTTGCAGATTTTAATTTCACAAATTTAATCATGTATGCCATGCGGGTACTGTATTAAATTAATTTTTGCGAATTTTATTTTTGCAAATCAGCAAAGAATCTGCAAAATTCACAAATTTTGCAACCCTAAAAAACCACTTATACGGTATACTGCATGTGAAAGTGATGTTATGCCACAATGTTCAACTTTGAGGTTAAATACATGCATTACATGTATATACATGTACATGCAGTTATATGTGCAATCATACAATGTACCATATGCATTGTAGGTCAGGATATATTTGTGGCTGCTTATTTTTGCAACAAAAAACTAATAAAAAGGTTCAATTAAATACCATGGAAACCAATAGTGTTGCTATGACAATAAGACCATATGTTTACAGTGTTCTATTCTTTAGTAGCTTTAATGAAGCCATACTCCGCCATTTATTAATAGCAAGTGGTTCTCTATCCATTAGCTTCTTGTATGGACCTCTACCTCCGAGATCTTTGCTGCAAATCCTTGCTGGTCCACATGCCGGCAATAATTAACTACACCCAAGTCAATAATTGGGATAGTCCCAAGATTGGACCAAGCAAGAGATCAAGGATTAGTAACAACAAAAATAACAACCACAAAAACATTGCAACAGAGTGCTTTGCTATTAATAGTGTGGCTTTTTCAATTAAAATTGCATCTGGTAGCTATAGTAATTGCTGAGTGTGGAAAAAAATCACGAAAATAAGCAGCCACAAATATATCCTGACCTACAGTATTATATTAAACAGAATCTAAAATTATGACTTACATGTATCAAATGATTAAACTTGACACTTGCTCCTTTGTCAATAAGTAATTCAATAACTTTAATGTGTCTATTTTCAATAGCAATGTACAAAGCAGTCAATCCCAACTAAAAAAAGAAAATATGATACTAGCACAAAATTTCTACCATGACCATATGCAATAACCAAGCAGTTAATTAATTGCTTAAATTTACAGGTTATAGGAAGATTAGTGTCAGTATTAAAATACACAAAAGGAACGTCCTATACGCAATAGGCTGTGAGGCATGCATGGGCTAGCTGCAAAAAAACAAAAAGGACATACAGGCTGGGACATGCTATCCAAAAAAAGTAAAATCATGAAAAGATTATATTAAATAAGGAAGTTTGCATGGGGTTCCCTACTTCCTTGAGCAAACATTTGTATTTTCTTTTACAAACACTATCAGATCAAAAATCAATGTTTTGAATTGCTTGGATTTGCATATTTATATCAACAGATGTAGCAAAGGATGTATATGTAGAAGTGGAAACAAAGGAAACTAAGCACACTACAATTTTGAGTAGGGCTGGGTGGGTAATATACATACATGTACATGTATATATTGTTGATTAATTGTGCTGTTAAAAACCCACACTGGTTACTAGCAATACATCTGTTAGTACATGTACCAGGAACAATAACAGTTAATGTACTAACCTCATCTATAGCATTAACATCAGCTCCATTTTTTACTAATACATTAACTATATTCTCAAAACCTCTTTTAGCAGAATAATGTAGAGGAGTCTTTTGATCCTACAAACAGAATAAGCATTAATGACCTCAGGTGGGTTTAAGGCGTGCAGCTAGGTCAAAAGCCCATAATCTCAGAAAGAAAGGGAGCTGGTTAGAGTATTCAACCAGGACCAACACTGAGCTGGGCGCAAACTGGCTCAGTATGACAGCCACAGCAACCAAGCATTAGTCTCCAATTGTTAGCCAATCATAGCACTACATATTGTTGATTAATTGTGCTGTTGAAAACCGACACTGGTTACTAGCAATACATCTGTAAGTACACATACCAGGAACAAAAACAGTTAATGTACTAACCTCATCTATAGCATTAACATCAGCTCCATTTTTCACTAATACATTAACTATATTCTCAAAACCACTTTTAGCAGAATAATGTAGAGGAGTCTTTTGATCCTACAAACAGAATAAGCATTAATGACCTCAGGTGGGTTTAAGGCGTGCAGCTAGGTCAAAAGCCCATAATCTCAGAAAGAAAGGGAGCTGGTTGGAGTATTCAACCAGGACCAACACTGAGCCGGGCGCAAACTGGCTCAGTATGACAGCCCCGGCAACCAAGCATTTGTCTCCAATTGTGAGCCAATCATAGCACTACATATTGTTGATTAATTGTGCTGTTGAAAACCTACACTGGTTACTAGCAATACATGTACCAGGAACAAAAACAGTTAATGTACTAACCTCATCTATAGCATTAACATCAGCTCCATTTTTTACTAATACATTAATTATAATCTCAAAACCACTTTTAGCAGAATAATGTAGAGGAGTCTTTTGATCCTACAAACAGAATAAGCATTAAATTACCAATAACTAAAACAAGTTTTACAGAAACTATATGCTTAAATATCAAGTAGCATCGCTATTTAGCATAAACAATATTAATCAATATTGTAATAAATTATCTTAAAATATAAATTTGTAATTTCTATGCAAAGTATTGTTGTTACTCAAAATCCAAATTGAAAATAATTTGAAATCTCAATGAAGCTTTGTTGGTAAACTTTTTTACTGCCAATGCCTGATAGTGTTGAGCAACTATATTGTATGCTAAAAATGTTAATGGCTGTTAGAGTGTAATTATTATATACAACAATTACATGTACATTAATTATCTCTAAAATTGTTTAAACCTTACAGACATAAATAAAATTTATTTGACAAAGACTCAGAGGTTTAATGTACATTCTAATACTTCTGGAGTTAGTTACCTTACATGTAGTCATAGTGTATAGTGTATGTAAAGTGATTGCATGGTGCATGTACCTGTATGAGTCTAGTGCACTAGTGTGTACATGTACATGTATGTTGATAGTGTATAGTGTATCATGTACTAATATAAACAAACTGATGTAGATGGTAATCAAACTACAGTTACATTTACATGTACATGTAAATGGAGATGCATGCACTTTATTCTACTTTGTATATCAACTTGTACCTGTCAGTGCTGTGTGTATTGTTTTTCTGAAATTTGGGATAAGTGCTTTCAAAATTGTATTTGTTTGAATAAACACTCCACAGAAAAACTTTACAATCACTAATTTACATGTAGGTCTGTGCAAAAATTAATTTCATCAGTTATTTATAGTGTTAATAATAAAATTTATAAATTTTAAAAATACATTTAAGTGTGTCAAGGTACTCAAAATGGCCTGACTTTCAATAGGGCCTTGAATGGGGCAAAGTTTTGAGCAAGATACACACAAAGATTTATTTAAGGCTTCTCCAAAAGCAATAGAAGATTAAGAAAACTTCTATGTAAGTATTAGTGAGAGAAAACATTTGCATGCCAGGTAGTGAAAAACCTGGGACATTTAAAAAGCCCTCCCATATAAAAAAAACAAGGAAAAAACAAGAAAAAAACAAGGTTGCGGCATGGTTGTGGCAACCTTGTAACAAGGTTGTTGTTACTAGGTGGTCACCACCTTGTAAAAACCCTGGAATTGAACCGTTTTCCACCTTATGACAACCATGTAACAACCTTGTGACAACCTTGTCACAATGGTGACAACCTTATCACAATGTACAATAAATTCAATAGAATAACTATAATCTGAAAGCCTATCAACACATAATTAATATTGTCATCTTAATCCCATATAATGTCAAATGATTTCTAGATACTTGTAATGTATCTATGATACATGTAGCTAATGTATAAAGATGTGGATGCATATTAATGCTATCATTATTGACTTGTACAAGGGCTCGTCAATGGTCCCCTTATATATGGTAGCAATAGCTTCATATCATCGTGGGGCGCACTTAATGAAACCTCAGTTTCCTGCCAACCTTCAGACAACCTTGTCACAAGGTTGTTATGTTTGTAACATGTTAGTCACAACTTCAGCACTTTTTATACAAGGTTGTCACTAGGTTGCTCACAACTTTATCACTTTTGTACAAGGCTGTTACCAGGTTGCTACAACCTTGCGAGGTTGTGAACCGGTTGTAACAAGCTTGTAGCAAGCTTGAAATTTCTATATGGGAATTGTTAATAACTTTGTTCATAAATAATTACCGTATTTCCTCGAATAGACCCCACACGTCAATTATCACCTGCCCTCAAATAGTCCCCGCACCTGTCAACTTTTGAGTGAAATAATAGCCGCCCTCTAATTGTACCCGCATCAATAAATTTTGGGTGTGGCATTAATTAATGGTGCTGAGCATGCCAACTATTTGCTTAAGTCCAGTGCATAGATACTAGTATCTAATCTATGCACTGAACTTGAGCAAACAGGTATCCTTTGGTTGATCTAGTTGTTAAAAGCACTGTAAACAACCAAGAAGATAAATACTGGAAAAGACGAGGGAAAAGAGCCTCACTTACTACTACCAGTACCAGAGTACTACCGCTATTGCTGGGCATTCTTAATTTCTCTCGTGAGTTAAAAAGCTTCCAGTAGCTAGAGCTGCACTCTAAACATCTTGAGGTAGTAAAGCAAGACTTCTCCTAACAGAAGATTAAGGCCTCACAGATTATTAGCAGAGGTATTAGCCTCAGATGAAATTATTAGTGCCTGCCCTCAAATAGTACCAACCCTCAAATAATAGCCTAATATTATTTTTCCTGAAATTAATAGTAACCGCGGGGTCTATTCGAGGAAATACGGTAGTTCAATTATATACATGTACCAGCCAAATGTCAGTATGCTAAAATTAGGGCTGAAACAAATAGTTTATCATTTGAATAATCGTTCGTTTTGCTGCTATTCGACTAATATTATAACTATTTGGATTATTCGTTTTATTAACTACTGATAAATTAATAATTAATTCGTAATTAATGGGTAATTAATGAACCACAATAACTCTCCACCTGTGACTGTAATGCTGTTCTGAAGACGAGCAAGACAGTGGTACTACTTTTGCCATGGCTAACTGTGCTAGATCGCTCAGGAGCCCTGCCTGGGATCACTTTGAGAAGACAGCAAATAAAAAGGTGGAGTGTAAAGTATGTAAGACCGTTTCAGCTTTTCACGGTGGAACATTGTCAATGAAGAGCCATCTTCTGTTTCGTCATCCTGATCTTTGTAGTTCTAGTAGCTCTGATAGCAAGTCCAGTGCTACCATGGACAATTTCCTGGCTCCAAAAAAGTGTTCTATGGTAAGGTAGAAGGAGATAACATGACAAATTGCAGAGATAGTAGCTAGGGACCTCCGTCCAATATGTATGGCAGCTTGTGACGGCTTCAAAAACCTTATGTCTTACGTTGAACCTGGTTACAGGGTGCCTTCACACAGTCACATTGCAGTACAGTATGTCACTGTCTCTACGACACAGAAAAAGATCAGCTGGTAACCTTGATAAAATAGTGTCAGCGTTGGACTAACGACTGATATATGGACAAGTGCTGCTATTCACACATACATGACTGTTACTGTTCACATTATAGATGATGAGTGGCAGCTGCAGAGCAAAGTGCTGGTGACAGAGGAAATGCCTGAGCGTCACACAGGGCAGCACATAGCTGACAAGTTGCTGAAGGTAGCTGATGACTGGCATCTCCTCTCTGGTAATAAGATACGATACCAGCATGCATTAGAGATAATGCAGCAAATGCGATTAGTGGGCTTTGTCTGACGGGTTGGGATTGCTTTGGTTGTGGTGCCCATAGTCTCCAGCTATGTGTAAATGCAAAACTTGAGGTTTCAGCAATAAGTCAAATGATTGCTTTCAGTAGGAAGATTATTGGGCATTTTAAACATAGCGTAGTTACCATGACAGGGCTTCATGTCCAGGATGTTTCAACACGGAACTCCACTTACTACATGCTAGAGCGTCTTGTTGATCAGTGTGTAGCAATATACGCAGTCATTCAGGATCCAAGTTTTACAAAACCTGAGCATCAATACCATGATTTGAAGGACATGCATTGGGAGCTATTATCTCAGGTGGTGACTGTACTAAAGCCACTACAAATAGCAACTACTGTGCTAAGCTCAGACACCTATGTTTCTTGCTCAGTGATCTATCCTGTCATCAATGGGCTCTTGAGCCACCATTTGGTTGAATAATGATGATCTTTCTTCAGTAAAGCAGTTCAAACAAATTATAACTGAAGAATTGGAGAAGCATTTCCCTCCACTGATTAACTAGCAGTATTAGTGTCAATACTAATTCCACTTATCTCCTAGTTCCTCACGAATCTGTTTTCTTAGGCTATCATTTGTAAAACGCAGATGGCTATACCTGGGGTCCACTGCTACACATTGAAGAGGTAAGCTATCAGCAGATGAGCAAGAGGAACCCCCGGCAAAGAAGAAAAAGACAGGTGATAGTGCTATGAGCTTTCTTCTGGGACTTAGCTCAGATAACTCTCAATCTACATCAATGACCAGTCACCAGGAGATGCAATTGCAATACTTCATTAATGAGCCTCCCCTTAATCCAGATGGTAATCCTTTAAAATGGCGGAGGAAGAATGAGGAGAAATTAAATTTCCCAGATTGGCTAAGATAGCCAGAAAACTGATGTGTTTCCCAGCCACTTCAGTACCTGCAGAATGAGTTTTTTCAACTTCTGGATTGATTGTCAACAAGCTCAGAGCATGTCTGAAACCTGAAAATGTTGACATAGCGCTAGTCTTTTTGAACAAGAACCCTCCATTTAAACCAATGTATACTGTACATTTTTGTGGTTTAACAATTGTCACTCACCCACACACTATTTTACTGTGTAATATTTTATCAATGATTTACATTGTTTATTTAAACCAATTATTTGATTATTTGTTTGTTAAGACGCACAACTATTTGAACAGTAAATGTAGTATTCGTTTCAGCTCTAGCTAAAATACATGTACAGTAGCTCTGATTAGTATTATGAAAATTTTGTGAAAACTAGATAATTCTAATTAAATTTTGTCACTTAACACCAAATTACATGTTCATGTAAATGTACACTGTAATACCATAAAGTGGAAAATTTTGGAGGAAATTAAATTTGGGAAATTTGGCATTTTCATAGCCATTCAATCGCCAAAATAAAATCCGCCATTTTGAGCCATTAGCGCATGCTCAATGGCACGTGGCCACAAATTCGCCAAATTAAAACTAACTAATCACCAAAATTTAGCAATTCGTCAAATTTCACTCCTTCCAAAATTCCATGCTATATGGCACATGAACAATGGCTCTTTGCAAGAAAGACATTTTGTTTTTATTAAATGACATACAGCATATACATCTACATGTAAGTATGACTAACCTTATCTTTAATGTTTACATTAATCCCTTTTTTAATTAATAGTTCAACAATATTAGGATACAATGTTTCAGCAGCAATATGGAGTGCAGTTGGTTGGTTACGCTAAAAGTAAAAATAGGATTAAAACCAAGAATTAGATCTACATGTACAATGCAGTCATTAAAATGTCTATAATAACTTTTGGATGACAAATAGACATGCAAAAATCATGACTAACAATATAATGAAATTCATAGATTGCTCCTTTGTCCATCAGCAATTCAACAACTTCGGTATGTCCCTCTTTAATAGCAATTTCCAATGCTGTCAGTTTCCACTACATGTACATGTATGTATAAAAGAGAAAATTAGATTCATATTCAAACAATCATGTGAAAATAAAACAAATCTGGCTCCACTAAAATAATGTACAGTAGAAGCTGCAAAGAGATGCAGTCTGTAATTACATGTACACATATGTGCTGTATAACCATCAGACTTACTTTGTCAATAGCATTAACATTAGCCTCATTGTTTAAAAGTATAAAAACTATAATTTTAGAACCTCTTCTAGCAGCATAATGTAAAGGAGTCTCTTGATACTACGAGTAAAAAATTGATACAAAAATTTACTAGCAAACATGATCCTATTCCTATAGCATTTGTATCAAAGATAGCACTGTATAGTGGAGGAGATATTTTGCTAAAATTTTGGTAATTGGCTGGTTTTAATTAGCAAATTTGTGGCCATATGCCATTGAGCATGCACATAATGGTACAAAATGGTGGGTTTAATTTGGTGAATGGCTATCAAAATGCCAAATTCACCAAAATTTATCTCATCCAAAATTACCCACTATATAATACATTGTAAAATACTGAATAAGATGATTTATTGACAAAAGTAATGCATGTACATGTATCTGCTAATCAAATTTGTTTGCAAACAGTAATTTTACACTGGCAATTTTTGGAATTTTGGCAACATCTATATTGGCATTACTTCATTACATAACCAGAAACTGCTAATATAATTTTTTGCTAATAAATTATCTGGTACAGTATTATCAAGAGTACACTCTTGGTATGATAATGAAAAGAGTGAAGAATCAGTGAAGAACTGCACCCCATTTTCAAGTATAAAAAAGCACTATAACATGAAATATGCATGTAGGTAAAGCGGGTGGGTTTTTTGAACAAAGAGGCATTTGATGTACATGTTACACAGGCCTGGGGTCAATTACAAATAAATGTAATCTATTACTATTACTATTACAATAAAGTATATTACTATTACCAAGAGTACATGATGGGTATTACTATTACAATATGTCATAGAGATTTTTAATAGGTTATTAATAAAAATAGTCTAATAAGTCATTTTTATAGTATTTAATTAATTAACTCATTAGTGTAACACTTACAGATAATATCTGTGATTACATATTACTTTAATTGACAATTACATATTACCAAGAGTCCATTATATTTAGAGAGAGTGTCAAACTGCCCTATAGTGCTAGTGATATCACCGCGTAGAAGTTTCTTGTTTATCTTTGGCTATTTCCACGCACTCGATAGGTGGCAAGAATAAAATTAAAACTCTCCAGACTCATTCCCATGCTAGGGTGTGTACTCAGCTACTTTTAATTATAAAATGGCCACAGACTACCTCAAGTGTAGCAGGCACCAGACACACTTGTCAAGAAAGCCCCCAAGCAGGGTTGTAGGAAGAAAATTGGGAAGGGTACGGTTTCTTGACACACGGAGTGTGGAAAAAAATTTGGTGACCTAATCAATTATTCATAAGGGGTGTGGTCAATTATCGCAATTTTATTGTTATTATCAAGGTTATTATTGATATTTAAAAGTGAAACCTTGGAAAGAACGGTGTACTACTTTTGTTTTACCAAAAGAGTGCTGTGGGAGTCACAGGAAGGTCAGGCAAACTCGAAGAAGAGCTGCTTCTACTACTACAAGCCATGCTGATGTCTGATGCTGAGGGTGTGTCTGGTTTTAATTAATTAAAAATTGATTTACAGTTAGTTGGGGCGAGCCCCACTCAGGTGAGAAGTCTTCTGTATGTATGTATGTATGTTTGTATGTATGTGTGTCTCCAGTCACACCTATTCTGATCACACCCCATGTGTGCACTACTCTCTATTTAAAACAATGATCTAATGTGGTAGCATTCTGATGAAATATTTTCATTGGTGTGGGTGTGGTTGCAATGAAACAAAAATGGCAACTATCAAGTTATGTGAAACGAGCTCGAGGAAATCTTACTGAAGCTTACTTGCAGCAAATAAGACTGATCTGTTGTCCAGGCACTTCTCCAGCAGAAAGAAGTTAAGAAAGCAGATATACATGTAGATCTAAATCTTAAAGGTCTTTAAGCTTTAATTATTTTGATTGGCAAAGTCAAAGAAAAGAAGGCCTATAGCAGTACTGTGCCTAGCTATACAGTTAAATTATGTTTAAATTGCAGCTGAGATTCTTTGCTAATAAAGAGCAAGCTATAAAATTGTCTTCCAATGGGCCATGCATGCAAGTCAGTGTATGCTTGTGCTTGCCTTTTCAATGTTTTACATTCGTCTAGTATAAATACCCCCTCGACACCATTTTCGATTTTTGGTCCGGCCTAAACCATAGCAACCGTACCGTCTGCTATGGCCCTGCCCCCAAGCTACTATAGACACTGATCTCTTGTACTCCTGTCTATTTATTAACCTAAAAGGGTTTCTAGTTGTGAAGTGTAGCACAGATGATGACCAACAGTGTCTAGTTCTCACTCATCAGAAGCTCTATGACCACCCTCCCCTTGGACTGACATCTAGAGTTAAAATACTTGTGAAGAGAAATGAATATGTTATGCATGTCTGCAATTATAGCTGTCCTTTCATTTTTATTAAGCATTTTTTAGTCTTAGATCTCTGCTGAGCCACTTGTGGTTCATAGGAGCCTCTAGATCTTTTCTCCCACCTCCAGTTGGTGTGCCTGTTGAATCAACACTTCCTCCTACTCCACCAAGTCTCTCATCATCAGGATTTTGTTGCTGTAGCAGCTCTTCCTGGACTTCTCCAAACAATGCTTATACACATGAAACACAAAGGGCACGGTCTAGTTATTTAAATGACATGCCTCTTGGCACAATTAATTCATTCTCATTCTTCATTCTTCTGAACATCAAAGGAAGCGCTAATTAAAGCTTCTACGCGGTGATATCACTAGCACTAAAGGGCAGTTTGACACTCTCTCTAAATATAATGGACTCTTGATATTACTATTATTATTAGTATTACTTGGTACCCTAGCTGTAATCATTACTATTACAAAACTTACAATTACCATTACATATTATATACTCTTGCTATTACCCCAGGCCTAATGTACATACAGCTACAGACATTTACAATGTACATGAACATTATGTACATGTACATGCATGCATAAAGTTCATTTTTGTTGCATAAATGTGCATGTACAATGTATATTGTAATTTACTGCATAATTAATTAATATTGCACATGGACATGCTAACCTCATCTACAGCATTAACATCAGCTCCATGGTTTACTAATATACTAACTATAATATCAGAACCACTTCTGGCAGCATAATGCAGAGGAGTCTTCTTCTCCTAAAATAGAATGTGGTGATCATATTTTAAAATTTGAAAATAAGAGAGTATACATGTACATGTACTGATAATAAGACCTAAAAACTAGAGGATATTAAAAACTTATATCAAATCAAAATCATGTTTCTGTAAAGCTCATACAAGAAAGTTCTTTTTCCTAGAAGAATAGGAAGATTTCACACTAGTTCTAATTAATTTTACTCAAAATTGACAGTACTATACAACATAATGCAGGGCCGCTGGAAGCAATGTAGAAGTAATGAGGCTATGGGTGAGTGAAGTGGGCCCAGCGCAAATATTTTAGCTATAATGCATAATGGACGTTTTACTTATACAATGGCATATATGTATACACTTATACATACACGTACACTTGCACTAATCAAGTTAATTACCATAAAAGTTTTTTAAAATTTAAGACAAGTCAGATTGTAAAAATGTACCAAAAATATTACTTCTATGTTACTTCTTTTATATCTAGATAGTAGCCTATTACTTCTACCGTACGGTTGGTAATATTCGAGGGTCCAAAATTTCGTGTTTTCTCCAAAATGTCCTTAGAAGCTAATATTCGTGGGTACAAATATTCGTGGATGGCAGTTAGCAAACGTCTTTTCACTTGGATCTACTGGACTAGCTTTCAACACATGGCTTATAGTGGAATATGGAGTAATAGACAAAGACTTTGGCTCCTCCACTGGCTTGGAAATGGTAGCTAGAGCTCTGCATGGCCCGTTAATTAGTTTTTATGTGTGGGTGGGTAGGGGTTAAAATTTTGTGGATAAAAATTAACGAAAATTAATACCCCACGAAATTTACGAACCGTACAGTATGTCTAGTAGCAATTCAATTTTTGATTCTTTATACAAGCAATACTCTATTCCAGCATAGTATCTATGATTTCAGTTCAGTTTTCCAAGTAAACAACATTGACCACACCCATAAAATTAATTTTTTTAAATGCTTAAATAAAAATAAAATATTGGTGCTATAAATGTGGTGAGGCTAAAACCTCACCAGCTTCAGTGGTTCTGACGGCCTTGTATTGTATGAGCCATGGTTTCTCTAGATCTCCACTACTCACTGCCTTCAGCTTTGCCTTGGGCAGATATACATGTATTGGGCTATACATGTATAGTATTTATACATTAAAATTATATATTATTATTATCAAGTAATGTACATGTACATGTACATGAGTAAGTAAATGTTGTGGAAGTTGCTCAAACTTTCCTCAATTATCATAACTAACCTTATTTGCAACATTTACATCAACTCCTTCATCGATTAGCAGCTGAACAATATCAAGGCAATTAATCTTAGCAGCAACATGCAGTGCAGTTGATTCATTATACTAAAAAGTAAAATAAACCTATAAATATAATCACAACAATTTGTAAGGCCATGGGCTTACAACTAAATTGTATACACAGTGATTATAGCCAAAAATTAGAGCTTTAAATTAACAAGAAATAAGCAGAAATTGAAAAAAACTGTACTTTACAGTGACACATGCTAATCACTAGTGTAGTTAATTACACATACATTTGTACATGTAATTACTGTAGAATGCATAGTGTACATTGTAGTTCATAGCACAAATTGACAAATATTAAATGCTAGAAAACTTTTGAATTGCCAATTTTTTCAACTTTCAAACAGAATAAAAAATCAACATCTACAGTATTTTTGTCCCTCAGTGGAATAGGACATAGGCAATGTTTGGTCTCAAAGTACCAATTAGAGAAACATTAACAAGGCTCAATTGAAGACAGGAAACACCTATCTACAAACATATATTTACATGTACATGTATTGTATAGAGCAATAACACACTAGCATACATGTAGTGAATAGCTTTTGATCGCTCATTATTTATTGTAATTGACAGTTATTATTGTTACTACAGTATTACATAATTATGGTATGCAAAGAACATACAGAAATATACATTAAAATTGTAAGAAAATTATGAACTAACCATAAAATCAAATATAAAGATTGCTCCTTTTTCAATAAGCAAGTTAACAGTTTCATTGCCACAGTGCCTCTTTTCAATAGCAATATACAAAGGAGCTCCTCCCAACTACATGTAAGAAGGAAAATACCATTAGTTTTGCAGAATAGCACATATTCATTATTCTGGAATGGGGAATTAGAATATACATGTACGGTCAAGGGAAGTACATGTTAATCAATGGCAATGCAGTCCAAAGAGGCCTTGTTGCCAGGTAGAGAAGCAGAGGAACTGAAAGTTGCTGAACTCAAACTTGCTTGAGTTCATAGGAAAGTTTATGAAAGGGAAAAAGCTGATTTAAAAGAATGCATCGCAAGCAAACATTAATCACCTTTTTTTGCTTTTATGGACTTTCCTATATAAACTCAAGCAAGAAACTTTCAGTTGCTCAGTTTAATTCTCTACCTGGCAACAAGGCCTCTATCTTGGACAGCATCGCCATTGACATTCCACTAATAATGCACTTTCAATTAACATGCAATGCTCTCAACCGTATATTCCAATTATTCTTCTCCAAATAATGTATGTGCCATTGATAATTTAAAACATTATTTTACTGGAGACCTTAATAAAAAAAATTTAAAGGAATTGAGCCATTTAACCTGCAAAAGCTTAAGTCAAATTCAGTTCAGAATACACACAAAAAACAGAAGTGCTGTTATAACACAATTTTTGATGCTAAACTTGTCCCCAGAATTAGAATGGATATTGGCATTCTAATTACACTAGCAGCTGTCATTTATGTGTCAAAACAGAATGCATGTGCTGTTTTAGCACCCAACATCTGCTGTTTTAGCACCTAACATCTGCTGTTTGCATAATTTAAAACTCCTTTTTGCATTCTAATTTTGGGGACAAATTTAGCATCAAAAATTGCACTTTAACAGCACTTCTGTTTTTGTGTGTATGTGACAGTTTTCATGCCAACCTGTTTGTTCTCTTTGAACTAGCACTTTGACATGTAGCTACATTCTAAACAACACCTTACAACCACAACAGCATCCCTACCCATATTACCCCTCATAAACATATCATCCTTAACGTCTCAAACTTACTTGAGAACCAGAGCCATAGTTAACATGATCAGCACAGTTTATCAAGTCTGAAAAATCAGCAGCCCCCTTCCTTCGAATTCTGGCGGCTGCCATTATAGTTATATAATCTAATAGTAAATCGGTCATATCATAGATGCTCTCCTTTTGACTTTGAGTCTCCTTCTCAGATGTCTCATCAGTACTTTCGTCTTCCCTGGCTTCCTCACAGGCTTCATCGCTAGATTCGCTGCCTTCATCGGCCATTATGCGGGGGTTAGGCCGGGGGCGGGGCAAATAACTGAAATCATAATGCTGAAATAAGCTGGAGATCTGACATCTGGCAGTCTGCAGAGCAGCTGAACCATAGATAATAGAGTAATTAAATGAAATGATTAGGCCTTGCCCAATTATGCTTTTAAAATTCTCTATTATTCTATTCTTGTATTCTCTTTGTTGTGCCTATTATTCTTTTGTATTATTAGTTTCACCTATTATTCTCAAAAAAGTTATGCATAAAAGTTGAAAACTGAATATAAAACCCAAATTAAACATCATGATTATGGTTATGATGCTTAAATTTTTTGTTTTTAAAAAATTTTTGTATGCTTTTTAAAATTTTGAAATTTTAATTCAAATAACTACTAATAACTTTAATAACTGACTATGAATATCATTAATAATAATTTGGCTGGACGGCCCTCACTAAATCAATTTTGTGTTGCTATAGTATAAACAAAACTACTGATCTACATGCATAGTATATGACGAGCAAAAAGAAATTATAAGAATTAAGAAAGCAAGCGGAAAGTGACTATATAGTATTAATTTTTTTGAGGAATCAAAATTTTATGCTGTATAATCAATGCAGTTGAAGCATCTTAGGACACTTCTTGCTCCTCAAGTGAGTTCTGTTTTGAAGGTGGGCGATAATTAGAAATATTCCTCCCCAGGATGGCCCATCCAAAGTGACAGCTCTCGCTTGGGCTCCTAATAACAGCAAACTAGCAGTGTGTACTGTGGATAGGATTGTACTCCTCTTTGATGAGCATGGGGAGAAGAGAGACAAGTTTTCAACAAAGCCTGCCAACCCTGACGTAAGAAAAAGACTTTCAATTAATAATTATGGGATGCCTCCACTCTTACCCAGATATTCTAAAATGGCATTTTTGTGGGGCCATTTAACATTTGAAAAGTGGTACATGTACATAATAAAATATGCACTTTTAAAATAATGTTTATAATAATAATAATTGAATGTATTATAATATTTTCATGATTTTTGTTTATTTATTTGTATAGTTGTATTTAATATTTTCCTTATTGTTATTATCATACAGTTAGGTAAGAAGTGCTATCAGGTTACTGGTCTAGTGTTCTCACCCGACTCCACTAAGATTGTTGTTGGACAGTCTGACAATATCATATTCGTCTATAAGATAGGAGAGCAATGGTAAGTGGGGCAATGTCTTTATTTTATTTACTCCTTTGTGAAATGTGAATGTACTACATGTATTATAATGTATGTGTACATGTATGTACTTGTAAAATGCTTTGACTTTAAATGCATTCTGTACATGTACATGTATATATGTTTAATTTGATCTATACATACCTACAGGGGAGATAAGAAAGTCATTTGCAACAAAATCATATTACAAGTAAGACCCTTTCCTACATGTACAATATACCCTTTTCTCTAAATTATAAATTTCTAATGCCATACATTTTCTCTTTTTAATCTTCCTCTTATTATCCATTCCCCCCTCTCTTTCCCTCTCTCTCCCCCTTTCTCTCTTTCTCTACCACAGACAGGGGCGTAGCTGAGGTAGGGCCTGAGGGGGCCTGGGCCCTACCATCAAAGTGGCCTTATAATTATATTCATAACTCAAAAGGTTATATTCATTGTTCTTACAATAACAAAAGGGGATGGCTGATAACCACAGCTCTTTTAAAGCTATATACAATGATAATTTCACTCTGATTTTGCTCAGCTTGCAGGAAAATGCCTCCATTTTGTTACGTAAAAAGGGTGTGGCCAAAATCGCGGCGCGCTTTGCGCGCCATTTTGTTTCCTTGCCCTACCGTCACCCAAGGTCCAGCTACGCCCCTGACCACAGAGTGCTGTCACTACCCTTATATGGCCTGTACAGCAGCCAACCTTTATATTTGGTTTAGCTGATGGTAAAGTGAAGCTTGGTAATGTAAAGGGAAGCAAGTCACAGACCATTTATTCATCAGAATCTTATGTGGTATCACTCACTTCAAGGTTTGACTATTTATGCATATTTGTATGCATGTTCAATAAATGCATGTATAGTGTCAACAGAAAAAATAATTATGCATAGTTTCATGTTGCATGATGAAACATGCATGTTACATGCATAATTATTTTAATCTTGTTCTATTAAAGATACATAAAAATGGAAACATGCATGAACATGTCAGAAAGTGTATTACATTGTATGCTTTAAAGTTGAATATAGGCATGTATTAATAGCAAGAGTACATGTTTTTCTATCATTGTTTTTGTTTAATTTCAGTCCTTCAGGTCAAGGTATATTGTGTGGTCATGCTGATGGTACTATAGTGAGATACACTTTTGATAATGACAGTGAACTGAGCAAGGTAGGATAACCTGTGCATGGTTATTGACAAATTATAGTTCAATCCATTATACACGAGTACGTGTCATGTACCCAATTCAAATCAGGGAATCCACACGTACTTATGTAATGTGCATGTACATGTAGATTATACCGTGTATGTGTTTTATAGCCTCAATGCTTTTTATTGTATACTGCATGCTAATTATGGGAATGTACATGTATTTGTAGTTGTATTGAAATATGTTTTATTGGTAGGGTCCAGTTTGTAAGCACAGTTGTTCTCCCTATGCTCTCTCCTGGTCATTGACTAGTATTGTTGCTGCTGGATGTGATAGAAGAGTTATGGTATACAACCACTCTGGTGAGACTATATTAATTATACACATGTATATGTATGTGTCTTCTTAATAGGTTTTATATCGGGAGTTATGCTATTAATATTGTACATTGTTTGTGTGTAAACTGTGTATGACATTTACATGTACATGTACCGTATAGCTGGTAATTTTTGCAGGTTGCAAATTTTGTAGATTTCGCGGATTCCTTCCGGATTCACGAAAATATAATCTGTGAATATCAATTTTATACGGTACTTGCATGGCACACGTGATAGAATTTGCGAAATTAAAATCCGCGAATTGGAATTTTAGTAGATTTTGTGAAATATAGGACCCACAAAAATTACTGGCTATACGGTATTATGGTTATTATTATGCTGTACATGTAGGTAAGCCTATCCAGCAGTTTGACTATTCAAAGGAAGAAGATGAGAAAGAGTTTATGTGTTCAGCGACATCTCCTAGCGGACAGACTGTTGTACTGGGGAGCTTCAACAGGTGAGAGCAAGGACCTGTTTGTTCTGAACTAATTTGTTCTATGTTATTTGACAAAAATTGCAAGGAAAGAATTTTTGTGTTTTATATTTTTCTTGATACATATGCATGTTCTATCAACTTTGAGCTGATTTTGATCAAATTTGGATTTTTAATGAATTTTTGAAGTTATTCAAAAATTGGTCCAACGACCAAAGGCTATACTGCTGTGTAGCCTTTTGTAAAAAGACTAAATTTTCTCAAAAATGGCTAGGAGAGAATTCTCCATTTTAATAATTTTCTGATACATTATACATGTACATGCCTCAGAATTGTATAATTAAACACAAAAAATATCACTATTCTTTTTATATTTTTTCTTAGGCTCAGTTGCTATAGAAAGCTCATGGTTTGGTAAACCGGACAGGGCAATACATTATAGCTACTCTCTCTGTCATGGAGATGAGCAATCATTCTCAAGCTGTTGGAAAATAACTCATTCTCTTACTGAAGGAAGAATTATTTATAGAGACAGTCAGTCAGCAGGTGTCATTTGCCTCTCTTCTCCTCCAAGCTCGAGCATAATTTCATCTAACATTGTATATACTGTTACTATAAACTATATTAATAGCAGTAGTACTACTACCAGAGTTTCTAGTAGTAGGATAAGACCTAGTTCCAGTAGTTTGTCGACTAGTAGCGTATCATCTTCTAGCTGTATGATCAGTAGCAGCAGTAGCAGTATATTCTCTACCACCATTAACAGTGTATTATCTACTACTACCAGTGTAACATCTGCAATTAACAGTAAATTGTTTTATTCTACCATTAAATCACCTACTATATACCAGCAGCAGGATGTCATTTCATAATAGTGTATCAGCTATCATCAACAGTGTTTCATCTTCAAGTGGTTGTGACAGTGTATCAGCAAATGCACAAAATAATTCACAGTTCCTAGGTTCTATTGGAGTTGTCATTGTCCTTGCTGTTCTTATATAGTTTTGTTATCTGTTGTTGGGTAAGTTGTAGTGTATAGTACAATAACTATAAAAATATTTGTGTTTATTATACAGATGTGCAGTACTTGCATGGTGTGTGAGGACTAATGTAAAGAAAGAAAGGTCAACAAATCGTTCTCTTCCAGGAATGCAAATGCCAAGCTCCCAATATCAGATGATTGTCAATCAAGCTACTGATGCTGATCCTAAAGACAGTTCAGATGAGGAACTATCAGGAACGTCTGAACAAGGAGTTTATGATAAAGAAACAGATGAGAAAGAACCACTTTGTGAATTGTCTGTGCAGTTGTTAGTGTTCACTTGGTTGTTTACATTTTTTGTTCTTTCTGTGTTTGCATTGAGTTCAACTTACTAAACTGTCACCAAGAGTATTGCACGAGATGCCTATCCCCCATTAATATGGTCTGGCCCTAGCGATGATTAGTGAACTATCATTAAATTCAATTAAAAATTAACCAACATACCAGAAATCTTTTGTGCATCATTATGGAAGTAGCTAGATATATTTCAGAAAATTCTGGACTTGGTATGTTGCGGGCAAGGTATGTCTGGTAGTAAAAGTCTGAGAGAAAGAACAGCTTAAATTAGTGGTAAATTAAGACAATAAAACACTAAGTGCTTACAATTTTTAGTAATAATTGCATGAGTGTATATCCAGTAAATTAGTATAGCTATCTCAACGATATTCTTGTTTACATTTTTAGTGCTAGACTAATATAGTTTTCATTTTAATTTTATCTTGAAGCTATGCATGCATATTCCTTATATAGCAATATAGCTCTATGTATAGTGTTATTTCTCAACTGCAGGCTATCAAAGAGTAAAATCTATAGTAACTGAATAACCTATGTAAACTGTTGGGACTATAACTCCCCCAAAGCTCTGGACGGCGTGTGATTCTACTTTTACAGGAACAAGATATGAGTCTTACTGTGCTACTTTTCTTGGCTTTCTCAGAAGGAGCTAGTAATGATTTTGAATATATAAATCATCATAATTATTTATTCCTCTTTAGATATAACACTAAGTCCTGTATCAGTTATTTCTTCTATCTATGAACCAGTAAATTTTACTTGTGAAGGAATTGGTAATGAGCTCAATTGGGTAGTAGGTAGTGCTCCATTAAGTAATTATGTCAAGCAACAAAGAGATATAACAGTTCATACTGATAATAATGAAGCTCACTCATTATCATCAGTACTTACTATTACTGCTTGGCCAATAAATGATGGAATTGTGATTGGTTGTCAGATTGTATCATATCCACCATTTGAGCAAGTATTCTCCAACTCCACCAGACTGACAGTAAGAGGTTGGCATGATAATTATGGAGCCTTTCAATAACATTTTTAATATTAGGAATATCATCAGTTGAAGATGTACAGTGGTCAAATGACAATCAGCTGCTATCTTGGTCTCAACCTTCTTTCTATTCTGATGATATTTCTCGAGGCAATGCCATTACTGTTTATAACGTATTTATTGATGGTATCAGTGTTATCAATACTACTGATACTAGTGTGTGGCTAAATACTACAGCATCAGCATTAGATATTGATTGTCAAAATTTTAATGTCAGTGTTATTGCATCTGTTGCGCAATATGAATCATATGGGAGAGAGTATACAATAAATGCTGCTGGAAGTAAGACTTAATTCAATTAGCTAGTTGTGCACAATTGCTATTATATAGCATATTCAATCAAGATATTGAATTATACCATCACATATAATGAAAAAAGAGGCTTTTTCTGTATTAACCTATTGAATTGGGTAATTTAACAGTTATGTACTGATAATTATTTTATTCATGTCTCTTTATAATGGTAGATAAACAGCTCAGCACAATTCTGTAACATTACCATGTATGGGAACCTTTATCCTGATGAAGAAACAACACAAGCTACAACTTATATCATTACAGATATAAGGCATAAAATAATATCATACACAGTGAATGGATTAAAACCATGTAAAACATATACAGCTGAGGTTATTATACTGAATTCCTTATTTGGTATTGAAGATCAAGATGATGTAACAATCTGTAAGTTTAACCAAAATTTTAACTTTTATTAATTTTATTTCTTAAAGCTACATTATCTAATGTACAAGATGTAATTGTGTCTAATGATAATGGATCAGTTAGTGTGCAGTGTGTTTATGCATCTGGATCAGTTGCTGAAGGGTGTCATGTCACATTTATTGATATTATTAATGGATGGAAGGAATCTTTTAATATAACAGGATCAGATAAAAAGACAATATCATTATTAGTTGGCAATTACACTGTCAAAGCATATGATATTATTAATGGAAAGCCTATTGACCATACTTGTGTGCAGTTTGTGAATGTAGAAGTTATTATTGTTTTTCCTTCAACTTCATCCAGCCTAAGAAATAGTGCCACAGTTACTAAAATTAATACTACATTGACTAGTATAACTGTACCAGCAACTTCAGGTAAAGCCTATACTGTATCTATTATTATTATTATTAGATCTATTTTTTCTGGTAGTTCATATTCCTACACTTGATAGCTCAAAAGCTACTATTAATATTCTGGTGATAGCATCTACTACAGTTGGTTCAGTGATTTTATTGATAATGCTGATAATAATTGTTATGGCTATTTGTATCTTGTATGGAAGAAAGAAAAGGGAAGGTATATGATTGCTACAATAAACTTATCATGATTATTTATTTTAGATTCTACTGATGTAACACATAACCCAGCTTATGGGCAAAGTAAGTTGTAATGTTGCTGTTACTACAGTATTTTTATTTATCAATTTAGTTCAACAGATAAGTACACAGTCAGTGCAAAGATCAGTATTAAATACAAATGCTAACCCAGCATATGAACCAGTAATAGTGCATGAAAGTAGAACTGATGATCATGATTACGAACATATTTATTAAAAATTATTACAAGACTAGATCTAAATAATACCTAAATTGAAACTCTTCATATTGCATTAATGTTTTTGAGCTAGATTTTATAAAGTCCAGGTTAAGAAAAAGAACTCGTGCACATCTGCAATGATGGTGATGACGATGACAATCTTGCATAACCAGCCAATTTTATCATTGATCTATGGTTTTCTAAAATATAGCATAAAATAAAATCATCTCATGGGGTCCTTGTACAAACAAATCAGTCATTGTTTTTGCCAGTCAGTCTACACTCAGACGGTACATTTTTGTGGAAGGATCCTTTATGGCTTCACTTCCTGTTACATCACTGTTATAATTAAATTCATTGACGATTCGTTATGAATATCATTAAAATCATTCAAAATTTGAAACACGTGTAGTTGTAGGCTCTTAATTAGATGAAATCTGGAAGAACACATCAACTTTGAGGGGAAATTTACCTGAATAAAATAAGACCCAGCACCAAAGGACAATCACAATGTATTAAGCAAAGGTAAGTACAGTACCAGACCCTTTGGCAAAAGCCCAGCACCCCTGTGAATGATTTGCACAAAAATCAAAGTCAAACAATTTTTATTAAACAAAAATTTTTCACGGCTACATATCTTTGCTTAAACTCAGCGCATGAAAACCAAACTTGTTTCTTTATAACAAGCAACTTCTCCTCTCTTAATGGTGCTAGTTACAGCAGTGTTCAATCATCTATGTAAGAGAAATAAGTAAAATAGTATGGCTAACAATTCTGACATGGTGGAAACCATACAATTTCCTACACTTCCGGTGTTTAGAGAAGTGTACCGTCTGAGTGTAGACTGAGTGCTAAATTTGCAAATGGACTGTTGCTAGCCTCACTTATAGATAACTGATAGCCATTTTTAGTTTATCAATATCATAAGTAGATTCATAGTCCTGCAATTGTCAAGGGAACAAGTTGTGCAAAATAGTTTAAATTTCAAATTCATGTGATGTAATCTGCGCATGCGCGCTATTAAAATTTTAGTCTTGTCTTTTAACTCTTTAATGGCGATGCCTTTTGTTGCTGCCTTTAGCTGGGCCTTTAGGCTCTCAGTCTGTTTTATAATCTTAAATGGAACCCATGGTGCTGGTAAGAGATGAATTAATTTTCATTATTATTAATGATGACGTCAGTTGTAGTGAGCTCTATTCCTGAATCGGTTACTGTCCCCATCTATGAAACAGCAAATTTTACTTGTGAAGGAATTGGCAATGAACTGAATTGGCTGGTACAAAGTTCTACAGTAACAGAATTTATTAAGTATCAAAGAAATATATCAATTACTAATAGCATAAATGGATCTGGTTTGTCATCAGTGTTTACTATTGAAGCTTTGCCAATAAATGATGCAATTCTGATTGGTTGTCAGATTGTATCTTATCCACCATTTGAGCAAGCATTTTCCAATGTCAGTAGACTAACAATTAGAGGTTAGTACAAATAATTCTACTTCATGTACATGTACAAAGCAATTTATTATGATATCAACAATTTTAATCAGCCGCATATTGGCAAAGCTTTGTAATATTTTTGCACGTTTGTGAAAGCCCAAAGAAACCACAGGCTGCTATGATATCTAGCTTCTTTTATTCCTCTGAAATTCATGGATCAAAAAAGAAGTGAAGTATAAATTATGAAACAGGGTGGAGCTGCTGGGGCTGCTGTTAACAAGATTAAGAAGGGTCATGGAATCAGTCATGGAAGCGTCCATACTTCCATTTAAAAATAACTTTAGGATTAAGGCTAGTTTACAATATTGCACTAGGTGTGACATTATGTAAATGTTGGATAGAATTTGGTTTAATTTTAGCATAACGCATGCATCAAAAGGACAGGTCAAACTACCCACACTTTGATGATACGCTGGCCTAGCATCATATTATATACAAACCAGCCTCTCTCTATATTAACAGAGTCGGGATTTTGCAGGGTTCTATCAGTATGGTGAAGCAGGAGGAAAGCTTCCCCCAAACTCTTCAGCTTCCCCCCAAAAACTTTAAGCTTCCCCCCTGTGTACTTCTGTAATTGCATCATGTAATGTACATACATGTATGTACAACCTCCCTCCAGTCAACTGCATGCTCTGGGCTTCCCCCCTCCAAACAAAAATCCCTAGATAGAACCCTGTTTTGTGCCTTTAAGGCCCCCTTTAAAACTGCTAGTGCTTCTTTTCATGAGTTCAACTATTAACCTAGTTTATTGGAGCCCATGTGGTATTAATTAGCCCTGCATAAACCAGCCCCTCTTACTGCAAGAGAGGGGAAGCCCAGAAGGCAAGTGGAAAGTACTCTTTCTTGCATCAGGAGAAGTTGGCTGTGCAAGAAACTTGAGATCATGGTTTACATAATGCCGCGTGTTGTTTTGCATTACAACCAGAACTGTATGATAGACAAATGGCAGCATGCGCCAAAATCTCAATTTGATGAACAAATGAGAGCACTAAAGTGCATACCCTCACTACAATTAATGTATAACAGTTTTAACTAATTAAGTGAAACTTAGGGAAAGTTTTGAAGCAAAAAAAGCCTCAGCAATCTGCACTGCTAGCTGCTGCAGCAATGTAAAGGTGTGGCTGGAATGAAGGTGTGGCTCAATCAAGCTAAGCTCCACCCACACACAACTGATTGGAGCAATTCCTTTCATATCAATGAAAGACAAGGTTTTGTTTTATTATTTCATTTTTTCTGTTTCTCTTTTGCTCTAACTACGAAAAAGCTGCAAAGGAGCCGACTACATTTTGAAACTTTACTAGCTTCTTTTTCCACGGAAAAGACAAATCAAGCATTCCCAAGACAGAGAATAGCTTTTTCGTGGGGTAGTGTTGATTATAAGAATCCTCAGAACTTTAAAAGAAAGCAGTATTAGTTCAAAAACCAACTTCAAGTGAACACGCACACAGACATTTACCATATACTGTATACGCCATATATCTTGCAGGTATAAAATTTCACGGCTTGGCTGCATTTTTTGTATTCTCAAATAAAAATTTTGTGATTTTAATGTAATTACCACATCTACTATACAACTAGCATGCTATTTTGTGGTTTTTTATTTTGTGAATTTTTCCAAAACATGAAAATTGCAAAAATTTAATTCCTGCAAAATATATGGCGTATACAGTA